GTATTTTTTATTCTAATAATAGATAATTTGATATTTTAGCTAAAAATGTGAAATTGTCTTTATGAAAAAGGATAATAATAAATCAATTATTGTTAGTGAGGATATTTGAAATTAAAATCAGTAAATATTGATTAGTAGTTTCTACAATTCCAGTTAAAGTATGTGAATATGTAAAGTCATATTATTGAACAGTAGAAAATGTTATTAAACAAATAAAAATAAAGCAATTTTTATATTTAAAGTTTTTATTCAAATTGTATTAGTATTTTTGCATTTTACAATAATTCAAATTATGTAATATTTATAAAAGATGTATTAATGGCAAAAAATAAATTTAAATCCTAATGGTTTGCAATTAAAAATGCATGATATATACTGGAATCTTTATAACTAGTTGCAATTAGTGATATTCTTTGATTATCATTTAAATAAAAAGTTTTGTGATAAAGCTAAGAGGTTAAGACAAATATTACAAGAATGAGAACAATGGTCTAATGGTAGATTATTATTAGAATGCAAAGAATGTAAAGAAAAAAAGATAATGAAAATTAAATTAATTATTATATGTGTTAAGTAATTCTTAGAATTAGATTTTTTTACTCAAAAAATGCAATTTTTAAACAGATCACAAATATATTTTCTACCCAAAAATTTCATTATGAACTTAATTTTATTGAGTATTATTGAGGAGTTGCAAAGAGGCATGCAAGAGAAAATTGTAATTATTTATGAATAGGATTAAAACAAATTGTACCTTAAAGTCTTGAATCAGTTTTATTAATTACAATTAGAAGGTTCACAAGAAAAGCTTGACATTATATAAGTTTATATCAAAAAGTTAAAAATATAGATTTCATAGAAGAATTTCAGATAAAGTTAAATCAAATTAAATTTGATTAGTTATATTATAATTGTTTTATGTATGTTATATCACTGAAATTGCATTTCTTTTACTATAATAAATAATCCTATTTATCAATCATTAAAAATAGTTCACATGAATTTTACGTGACTTTGATATAATTTGAATTTCGTACTAATTGATGAGTATACTGTAGATGCGCTAAACCAAATATTATTTAATGTGCTGGTTCTTACTGAAACTGTTTTAGATATATTTATTTCGTTAGATTTATTAAATATAACAAAAATTTCAATATAAAAATTAAGGTTCCAAAGCATTTTAAAGCAGTTTTAGTATAATAAAAAAATCTATATAGTTCTTGACGCTTGAGAAACCCAAGCACAATATGTGGTGTTTTGTTCCAAAACCCCTAAACACAAATTGTTATTATCATGTATCAATTCGATTTTAGATAAAAATACATTTGTAATAACATTTAAATGAATGATTGAAGAATAGTTGTAGTATTTAGTGGAAGAAATTTCACATCAATGCTATCTGATTTCACTTTAGTTTCATCTAAATAAGGTGCACTGGTGCATTATCAGATAAAAGCACAATTGTTTTATTTTTTCATTGAGTTTGAGAAAAATTTCATTAAAAATACTAACTTGCATCAAAGATTTTTTATTCCAAAATAATAAACAGGAAGATTTTTATAATTAAGAATTTTCATAGCGCGAGGAGTTTTGTGTTCATGAATAAAAGAAACATTTTTTTCGATGTGTATGTGGCGTAACATCCAAGAATCTATTTCAGGTCATTCAATGAATCTTACGAATTTGACTAATACATTTAATCGGTAATTTCTTTTAACATGATTTTCATTATCACACTTACTAAAAATAAAGTTTGTTTCAATCCTACATTCTAAAGATAACGAACATGGTTCTTTATTTCTTTCATTAAATTCCCTAAATGTATGTACAATATTTTTTTTTATTAAATGAAACATATGATACATCGTTGGTACGACTCGATTCTAAACATATATAAGGTGAAATAAAATTTATTCAAAAAAAAAAGAAAAAAGAAAACTCTATTTCCGCCATGTACGCAATACACTGTCAACCTTATTTTTCATCACAAAAATTAGTTGCCTATGTATTAACAGTCATGACTATCCTCACATTTATCATTTCATTAATGATAAGTTTTTTAACATATTCGATTTGGTCATCGATCGTACATCTTGAATTATTATCAAAACTTATAATAACCGAATTGCTGACTAATCTTGGATATTATAGAAGTGAAGCTATCATGGTCTACTTGTAAAGTTCTATATAGGTGAAAATATCTGTTTCCAGTAAAAACGAACCACAGAGGGGTTTGATAAATTGCCACCTAACGTTATGACTAACCCTAACCCTCTTTTTAGTAGTTGTGGCTAATGACCAGGATCTATCCCTGGATGGTACTCGCTGGTTTTTACACGGACCCTATAATGGCACCCTCAATTATTACTATTTTTTTTTTTTTAATAAAAAAATAAAATTTAGAATATTCATTATAATCCTTGTTTTATTATATTATTAAGATTTTCTATTCATTCAGAAGAAAAAAAAAAAAAGAAGAATTTGTGATTACAAAGGTATCGAATTATAACTATCTATCTATCTAACAGTAATCGCTGACATCCCTAAAATCATGCATAAGTTCTAAACCATTAAAAGCAGAATCTTTATCAAATTCATTAGGATCATAATCATCGCTTTCACCATACCAATTACTAAATTCTTCATATTCGGGATGATTTTTATCTTTTATGATTTCTTTAAACCTTTCAAAACCTTCATAACTACCAATATCTTCAGGAGGGCATTTACCTCTACCTCTCAAACATTTTGGATATTGAGTACTTTGTTTACGATCAAATACACCTTCATATGTAATAACATGTTCCCATGAATCTCCCGAATCATATTCATATTCCATTATTTGTCCTTTACTATGAAAGTAATCTTTGATTAGGTTTGATTTTTCTTCTCGCACTTTTGGTATTCCGGGAAAATTTATCTCAATGTGAGGGTTACCATATTCGAAACCTTCTTGCGCACGAAACACGTGCGTATGACAATTCTATTATCACGTAAAATTAAGGTAGATTATTAACGACGATTCGAGGATGGATCAAATTATAAATCGATCCCATGAACTTACAAGCCATCCCATGCAACATTGAATTGCTAAATGAAATTGAAAAAAGGTGTAATCATATGGTACTTGAATACGACGCCAGATTGCCGGTTTTCTTATATGTTTTAATTGAATTTTAAATTCAAGAACTTGATTGTAATCATCATTATTGTATCTCGCGGTCCTAGGAGTGGCGAAAGAAGATGATGCAGAGCTTCGTAAAGTTGAAGGTGATGTTTGTAGAGTGCCTTGTGCTTCTTGTCGAGTAGTTTGTTGAGCATAAAAATTGTTCATCATATTATCCATTACCGAAAGGATGGTTCTGATAAAGCTGTATCATTACAAAGTTGATACACGTGAAAGAAAAAAAAAATAATAAGAATACATGATTTTTCATTTGCTTTGACTCCTCGTTTAACAGTAGAAATACCTTCGAACTTTTGAAGTAGCTTTCTCTAAAAATATATTTCCCTCAAAAAATTTTTTTTTTTTTTAAAAAAAAAATTGTGGGGGAGCTCTTTTATCAAAAACTGGCTTTAAATGATATATCGTTGATTATTTCCAAGTCAGATATTTTACCATGTGTTGTCATATCTCTGGATAAATTTACAAGTCTGGAATTATTTAATTGTTATCCTTTGATGTTATAAAATCCTCATCTTTTAATGTGACAATTAAGAGTACTTGTAAATTCGGTTTTGATCAGATAAAACAAAATTAATCGTCAACGGTTTACAATATCCGAATATGTGGATGGGACGGGACGGAAAATTCATCCTTATTTTGGTTTTACAACATCTCCAGGAACGTAAACAAACATTGCCACGAGATTAGATTCTTTTTATGACGGGTTAACTTATGAAACGGCTTATTTTGCAATCGAACGTTTCCCATATCAAAAATTTCAGAAAAAAGAACGATTTTTTTTTTTTTTATTAAAAAAATTTCTAATTTTTTTTTTTTTTTCATTAGACCGTTGTGACCTGGAAAATTGATTGGGAAAAAAAAAATATATTTACATTTTTTTCACATGATTTTATAATTTTTGTGAAACAATTTTATTGAAGTATAAAAAGAACCGACTATAACGGTTTTACTGACGCAATATAAATTATCTTTGAAGAGGATAACATATTCATTCCTTTATAAGTTGCATAATCCGATCATTTCTAGGAACAAGTTTTATATTATAATCCTCAGGCCAAATGGTTAATCCAATTATAGGCTTGTTCAAATTAATTGGGGTAGGTTTTCCGTCTTCTCCAGTAGGCGAAGCATTTACAATATTAAAGCAATATAGAATACGTGATAAAATAGTGAATAATTCAGCTTCAGCCTAAGGGAAAAAAATATATATTAGAATCAAAAAAAAAAAAAATCATTGGAATATTTACTAATGTAAAAAATATTTACCAAATGGATTCCCGTACAAAGCCTTTTTCCTGCTCCAAAAACAAATGTGTCTCTCTTTTCAGCGGGTCCATCAGCCAAACTAGCCATACTTTCCTCAACGTTGATAAATCGATACGGATCAAATTGCATGGGATTTTTATGACGTTGTTCATTGGTTGCAATTGCGTGACAATTAATAAATATTGAAGAGTATGCTGGAATATGATAACCATTATATTCATCATCTATTTCATTAGCATGTTGAACTCCCAACCAAGTTGGTGCATATATTCTTAGACCTTCCCTAATTAATGCAAGAGTGTAGGGAAGCTTTTTAAGATCGGCGTAAGTTGGGAGTCGATCATGTTTAGGAATGAGCGCGTCAAGTTCTTTGTGTGCTGGTTCTTGGAACGAGGGATTATTGGCCAAGAACGCTATTATCCATGTTAAACTTGCCGCTACAGTTTCCTAAAAAAAATAAAAAAAAAAAGGTGAACATATTTTTTTCACGAAAAACAAAAAAAAAACACTCAAGATTAATAATTAAATAGTTACCGTTCCGGCAAATACGAGAAACGCAAAAAGATGAACGATTTGATAATCTTCTAATTCCTTTTTTTCATAAACTTCTCTCGCAGCACATGGAGTTTTATTTTTTCCTGATTTAATATCTTCCAAAAGTTCACCAAAAATCGAATCAATATCATCTCGAATAGCCGTCGCCAACTGTAAATCGTTATAACAACATTGTTAAATAAATAAAGTTTTTTTTTTTTTTTAAAAAAAATAAAAATAAAAAAAGCGTCATATGTGTGACCTGCATCGTTTTGTTTGGAAGATATTTTAATATCGGGAAAAATTCCGATCTCCTATGTTCATCCGCAAAGATTCCTGTAAATTCGTCTACCCATTTGTCTACTCGTTTAAATAGTGGATCATTAATACTTGTAGTATGAATTCCGAAAGTTACATCCAAAATTACGTTTAAGGTTGTACGATGAAGGTATGAACGTGGATTTAGTGGTTCGGGATTTGATAATGAAGTGGAGGTATTAATCACATCTAAAAGCATTTCTTTTGTTATTTTATCGATTAATGGACTGTAAGTTTCGGATTTCTTCAACGAAAGGATTCCAACACCTATTATTATATTCGATAAAAAAAAAAAAAATAAAGATTCACGTGTCTTAACACAAAGATTTCTCCAATCATTTGAAATTATTTGATGTACACTACTTACTTATCGCTTTAGCTTTCTTATAAAATGCATCATCTGGACAAAACCCAATAGCAGATCCTCTTGTAAGTAGACGAAAGTAAAGTTCCGAATCAAGTCTAGACGAGTAAATTGCATCTCCTAAGTAAGAGAGATTCATAAGATATAGATCAAATGATCACTAAAGGTTATTATTAATTAATTAAAAAAACTTACGCTTTTGAAGTAAATCTCCAACCACCTTATCGCTATTTAAAATAACACAATTTAATACGCCTATCTTTATCGAGTAAATATCGCTATTCAGTTCTTTAGACCAATTTGTGAACGTTTCATGTGGTTTGGGACCAAGTAAATGACTATGTCCTACATATTTAAAAAAACATTTTTTTTTTTTTTTTTCGAAATATTTACCCACTTTCAATTCCAATGAATACATAAATTTCGGAAAAAAGAAAATCTTCCCACCTAAATAAAACCTAGATCCCTTTGGTGAAGGAAGAGGTTTAAGTCCTTTAGGAATTGAAGGTTTTTGGGTAAAATAATACCATAAACCGACGAAAATCGCAATTAAGATGTATGAAATCATTTTTTATTTTTATTTTTTTTTTCCTTTACGATTTGAGATTAATTTGAGTAAATATCTTGACTTCATATATTGAATCAAGAAATTCAATAATAGTAATAATTTTCTTTTGATCAAAGGTTGCACCCTGACAAGCGATTCTGTTGTGCCTTCGGTCAACAAACCTTATTTCGATTAATGAACTTGTATCACTGTAATGTCTAAACCGCTTATCCGTCTCCTGGTTCTATTACCTTTGGAATCATCTGCTTTATTCTCAACCAACGACAGCTGTCTGTATGCATTGTCGCCCTCCTAATGCAGGGTATTAGCCTATTGGATAGGTTCCGAGATCTTTGAACTTTTTTAAAAACTTCGGGATCTGCCTTAGGACATTCGGGCATGTTACTAATTTCTTTCTGGACGGAGGAACACAACATGATTTTCGTCCACTCGACGTAAATGTACCCAGAATATTGAAAAATTAACTGACCCTAGAATTAGCATCGATCGACGGTGGCTGAAAGCCATTAAATGAAGACCCAGTTTCATTCCCTGTTCCTGTTCCGGTTTGGTCGATCCAAATGTAGTCATACATTATCGTACCACAAGCCGGAACAGAAATAGGGAGGTACCGTATAATTCTATTCAATTGTTCCTGAATTTGGATTGGCTGATGAAATTCGGAACAGGAACAACTCGGAAACCATCAACTTTGTGATCTTTCAATGTATTCAATCCCGGTAAATACCGCAGAGAACTGGGGTCTTTAGTAGTTTAATTTAGTTTAACTACTAAAGGGAAGAGTTGTTACCTCAACTTATCGTGTGTGTTACACAATCATGTTTGGCGCAGCTGAAAGATGGTTAATCTTTATTGATCTAGTGTTAATTATTATTTATGAATTGATCCTGTTTCAAAAGGAAGTTCTATAAAAATTGATTTCCTATAATCTTCAAAAGATAGACCACGTTCATCTTTAAACAATTAATGAAAAAGGTTGATTTTCAAAAAACTTTAATAAAAAACATTTCGATATATCATTCTTAAAAAAAATGGAACAACAATCTTTCATCAAATTT